CAACAACTCAATTTATGTGTTTTCTGTAATAATCTTAAAGACAAAACCATAAAACCAGTCATAAAACACCATCAACACATCCAGGTCAAAAGATCAACATCCCTGCCAACACCTATTCTCATTTATGATCTACAACATTGTATCTCTCTCTATTAATGTGTTAAAAATTCCATTTATTTTTACCAAGTCAATTAATTTTTAATCTTTTTGACGATATCATTTAACCTCCGTGGTGACTCCCCCTTAACCCGAGAAATAGCCACCATTGAATAACTTTCATACAAGAAGCTTACATTAATTTCGACTAGTAGGAGCCATGAAGAATGAAATTGACTCACTGGAGCAAAATAAGACCTAGATTATCACTAATCTACTAACTAGCAAGAGGGCTATAGTGTGCAAGTAGATACGCAAGGTTAAGTTCAATGTTGATGGAACAATGGAGAGATACAAGGTGAGACTTGTCACAACGAAATTTACCCAAAAGGAATGTTTGGGTTATTATGAGATATTTTTACCAATTGTAAAGATCATCTTTATAAGATTGCTTTTCACTTTGGCAGCTACTAAAAATTATCATCTTCATTAGCTTGATGTCAATAATGTCTTCTATTTTAAGACTTGAATGAAAAGGCCTACATGGACTTGCCACTAGGTTATCTTAATGAAGGTAAGTCAAAAGTGTGCATTACCCTAATAAAGGTAAATAAAAAATGTGCAAATTATTAAAAGATAAATATAATCTCAAGTAAGGCTCATGTCAGTGGTACACGAAGCTTTCTAACTTCACTATTCAACAACGGATTTGTGTAGTCTAAAGTTAATTACAACTTATTTGTGGAAATTGATGAAGAAATTTCACTGCAATGTTGGTCTATATGGATGACATAATATAGCAAACAATGATGTGCACTCAATTGATCATCTAAGATATGTGATGAATGAGAAATTCAGGATTAAAGATCTTGGAGACCTCAAATATTTTTATGGAATTTAAGTTGCATAATTCAGGGATGAGATTAATATCTATTAACACAAATATGCCTTGGATCTATTGAGTGACACAAGGATCTTGGGTACTAGAACATTAAAACTACCACTTGATCAAAACTTAAAAATGTCAAAGAAAGACAATTGACTCATTTTTAACCCAACAATGTACAGAAAGCTTGTTGGAATACTGATGTATTTAACCCTTAGTAGCCCATAATTTTCTTCTTTTCTATAACTTCTTAGTCAATTCACGGAACATCCACAAGATCAACACCTTCATGTTGCCTATGACTTGAGATACATCAAGCATGGTCCATGATAAGGTTTATTTTTTCCATATTCCTCTTAACTGTAGCTCAATGCATATAATGACAATAACAAGGGTGTTTGCTAGACTAGACACTCGAAAATCAATCATAGAATATTGCATTCTTCTTAGATATCTTTGATCTCATAGAAATCAAAGAAGCAACGCTCTTTTTTCGATCCTTTAAAAAAGTTAAAGTTCGAATAATGGCTATGATTTATTATGAACTACCTGGGTACAATATGTTGAAAAATGATTTAAAATTATGAAATTATAAATTGTAGGTTATGAGTGAAATTATAAATTAGTAGTTATAAGAAATTAAAGTAAAATAGCAAAAAATTAAATCATGATAAATGGATGGTTAAATAGCGATAAATAAATGAGTTTATCAATGCATATATATACACTGTAGATTGTTATGTACGTATATCTCCTTTTGATTGAATAAAAACCTTTTATATTTTCTCTTCCAATACAATATCTATAAATAATTTGAGAATTGAACATTCTCAAGGCACTATCATTTTGTGAAAATAAAGCTATGATGCATATTGCAATAAGTCCCAACTTTCATAAAAGGACAAAGTACATAGAGGTAGATTGTCATTTGATTCAAAAAAATATTTAGGATATATGTTGTGACAAAACATGTTATTAGCACACAGCAAGTTGCCATATTCTTAGCAAACCTCTTTTAAGTGTCCTTTTTAACTCACATGTTCAAGATAAGAGTGAAAAATGTTTACTCTCCATCTTATGGGGGTGCTAAAGTAAAATTGCTCGAGAATCCAGATTCAATAGTTTTTGGAGCCCTTCTAGGGCTCATAGTGGATTGTATGTGTGCATGCATGTATAGTCTTTTAAGGTATAAAAAAATACTAATATGTGTGTGAGGAGTATATATGCTTCGTTACCTCCATATATATAAGGCTTCTTATTCATTAATAAATTCATTTATTAATTGAGAGAAAAATGAATCCTTATAGGGTTTTCCAAAATCGCGGCCTCGCTCTTTTCTCCTCTTTAATCTTCTGCATTCTTCAGGTAGTTCTAGATATAGCTTTTTTTTTCTTCCTTTTAGCAAAATCTTGCACGGTCACAAACATAGCTATCATTTAAAGAGATGGTGAAAGTTGTATTTGGAATAAGATTTTTTATAGAATTTACATAGAACTTTATACATAATAAAAAATTTATATAAAATTATAAATATTGAGCAAGTTAGTTTAACAACATACATCATATTAAGGACAAGGGTTTAAGTCCTTACCCTATCTCAATTTCCCACAAAACAATTACATCAATTTTAAAAATTGGCAATATATTATTTGAATTCTCCTTAAAGTTTCCTAAAATATTAAGTTCCATCATTTTCTACTAAATTTTATTTCTAACTAAACTAAGTTTAAATTTTCAAACAAATTCTATAAAAACTTTTGAATTTATTTCAAAAGTAGCCTAAAAGATCACAATTCTTTT